CCGGGGGTGGTTGGTGTGGTTGCGCGGGGGGCTGCCACCCTACCAGGCTGGCTCACCATGATCATGTGTCCAGTGGAGATGTCCATGTTGGACTGGACAGGCTCCTCGCACCAGGAGGGTGTGCTGCTGTGGGAGCTGGGGCTGGGCTGCGGGGCATCGCTGAACTGGGACGAGACACTGCTGACCCGTGAGGTCTCTGCCGGAGCCACCGGTGCCTCGGCGCGGCCGAAGAGCGACTTGGCAGCCATGTGCTGGCGGCACAGCTCCTGGGGGACCCCAGCAAGAGCCCTGTCCCGAGGCTGCAGCACTACCAGGGGCAGCCCTGTGCACCCCGAGTAATGCCAATGTGGTGGTGCCTCATCCCGCAGGGTCCCACATCCCACGGGATCCTACCTGGTACTCAAAGGTGGTGTCAGCAGCACCCTCCGGCCCCAGGGCAGCCAGACGCTCCTTCTCCCGCTGCTTGGCATGGCGCCGGAGGCAGAAGGCTGCAGCAGCCGCGATGGCAATGCCTGCCACGCAGGCCAGCGCGATGAAGGTCAGCAGCACCGAGTGGAAGCCATCCCCGAAGCGGGATGGGCGCGAGTAGGCAGCAGCCTCATTTCGCTGGGGGCAAAGCCAAGCAAGGGTTAGCGGGGGACATCTGCATGGGGCTGGTGGAGCAGAGAACCCATTCACAGAATCACAAATTGTTTAGGCTGGCAAAAGACCTTTAAGATCATCAAGTTCAACCATTAACCTAGCACTACCAAGTCCACCATTAAACCATGTCCCTAAGCACCACATCGACACATCTTTTAAATACCTCCAGGGATGGTGACTCAATCACTTCCCTGGGCAGCCTGTTCCAGTGCTTGACAACCCTTTCGGTGAAGAAATTTTTCCTAATACTCAATCTAAACCTCCCCTGGCACAACTTGAGGCCATTTCCTCTTGTCCTATCACTTGTTACTTCAGAGAAGAGACCAACCCCCACCTGGCTACAACCTCCTTTCAGGTAGTTGTAGACAGAGAGGTCTCCCCTCAGCCTCCTTTTCTCCAGGCTAAACAATCCCAGTTCCCATAAGAGTCTTCTCATAAGACTAGTGCTCTAGACTCTTCACCAGCTTCATTGCCCTTCTCTGGACACACTCCAGCGCCTCAACGTCTTTCCTGTAGTGAGGGGCCCAAAACTGAACACAGTACTTGAGGTGCACCCTCACCAGTGCCGAGTAGAGGGGGACGATCACTTCCCTAGTCCTGCTGTGCCACATTTGTGGTTGTTGGGGGCTAAAACAGAGCAAGGGCACTCAGTGCTGTGCTGATTCTCCCAGCTCCCTGAGATGGGGCAGAGCTGGTGTCACTGGGGTGCTGGGTGTCACTGGGGTGAGGCTCGGTGCACCCACCTGCACATCATGTGGGGCATCGCTCACACTGGTGTCCCAGGGGCTGCAGGATGGGGCAGAGCCTGGCCAAGCCCAGGCAGCAACAACCTGCTGCTCCCCTGTTCCCAGTAGCCAGGGCCGCTTGCCAGGGCACCCCCAGCCCAGACTGCCCTCCTCCAGGGCAGGCAGTAGTCCCTTGGAACCCAGGTTCAATGAGCTCCTGCTCAGCTGGAGGTCAACAAGGGCCAGATTCAGCCCAAGGGGTTAATGGCAAAGGATGGGCCACTGCAACACTGGGTCCAGGGCAACAGTTGCTGCTCCCAGGGGACTTCCCCAAAGGGGGCTTCGCTCTCCCCTGTGGTCACTGCTCCATGGCAGGACACCGGGGGATGTGCTGGCACTACCAAAGGGCTGATGCTATCCCAGCTTCAGTGGCTGGGGGACAGGTCGTCCCCGTCACTCTCCTTGAGGACACAGGGCAGCCCCTGCCACGCTGCAGGCAGTGCCTCTGGGGCTCCTTCTCTATGGCTGGGGCAGGATGGCCAAATCCATGCCAATCCCATGCTGGGACGGGAAGGTGCTGAGCCCTTGCTGGATGAGACCCCCTCAAGGCCAACCCCCCCCCCCCAAAGCCACTGGTGATCAGGAGGCTGCAACCCCGACAGCCAGGTCCTGGGACAGCACCGGGATGGTGGAGCATCACCACCACCAACTACGCTGTACCCAATGAGGTGCCAGAGCCAGCATTACCTCACTGCCACAGCCTCCCATTGGCCATGAGCCTGATGAGGTTACCGAGGGAACACTGCGTCATCATCACCTACGTTGTCAGCATCATTGCCTGGGGAGGCTGCAACCCCGACAGCCAGGTCCTGGGACAGCACCGGGATGGTGGAGCATCACCACCACCAACTACGCTGTACCCAATGAGGTGCCAGAGCCAGCATTACCTCACTGCCACAGCCTCCCATTGGCCATGAGCCTGATGAGGTTACCGAGGGAACACTGCGTCATCATCACCTACGTTGTCAGCATCATTGCCTGGCAATCCTGGAGATACCCCAGCCCCACTGGCCCCCCAGCCTTGTCAGCCCCAGCACCTGGGGCTCAGCCTGACTGCTGCCAGGGCTCAGCTAGCCCTGCAGCCAGGGGTACCCGCCATGGCCAGCACCTCCCAGCTCCCCAGGGCACCCAAGCAGGAGCAGCCCTGCAGCCTCTGGAGGTGCCAGAAGGTCTGGAGACATCAGCAGGGCTGGTGGGGACAGAAGGGACCTCTCTCCCAAGGCCTGCCTGGGCCCTGCTGTCCCCCCACCTCTCTACATCCCTCCGTCCTCAAATCTTGCACAGTCCCTCTGAGTTCAGAGCCTGAAGAAGGGGGATGAAGGAAAACCACAAGCTGATCTGGACCGGGGAGGTCCATGCAGAAGAGGGCTGGCAAAGCTGTTTCAGCCTCCTCTGAGCTCAAGCTCCGTCATCTCTGCCATCTCTCCCAGCTCCTGCCACTTGTCACATCAAAAGACATTGCCATAGCGACACTCCACATGTTGCTGATGGAGACAGGTTGCCTCCGTGGCCAGGCCACCCCTTCTCCATGGTCTCTTCCTCCAAGGTCCTCCCTTCCTTCCTCCCTGCCCACAGCTACAGCCACAGGGACCCCGGGTTGAGGACATGCTGTACCACTTCCCCTTCCCAGGCTGTAAACATGGGAGCCAGGCTCAGTCCTACTTCTCCAGCCCCTGCCCCCCCCCCCAGGAGACTGTTCCTGGGAGTCCCCAGGGGAGCACGGGGAGGGGGTGTGCCCCTCCAAGCAGATGGCTCCTGCTCCATCCCTGTCTTCAGCTGCTCTGTTGCTCCCTGGGGGCACAATGGCATTTTGCCTGCCTAGCTGCGGTCTCTGGGGCTCTCAGGGAACAGCCTGGCACTGGGGTACTCAAGCCACAGCCAGGATGGGGTGTGTAGGCTGGAGGGAGGCAAGGGTGGGGATGAGCCCTGAGGGGTGCAGCCTGCAGCCCCCCTGTCTTGGACGGAGAGGGAAAAGCCTCTGGGAGACCCTCTAAAATTGCCTTCAAACCCTGCTGAGCTTTTGTTTTAGAAAGAGCTGAGCACACTGGGAGTGCAGGCAGCTGAGCAGCATCACGCTGCCAGGTGGAAGGGGGTCACCAGAGCTCTGACCCATCCCAGATAACCCAGGTCCATCCCCAGCACAGCAGCCTGAACGCTGCCTAGATCCCTCTGCTCCCCAGCTGCCCCACAGACTCATGGGGATGGCTTGCTCATGAAGACCCCCACCCCTGGGCAGGGGCACAACGTGCTTCCCAGCTTGTACCCAGCAGCAGCACCCCCACTGCCCTGTCCCCAGCCGCCCCAGCCCCACAGGACAGGCACGCCTTGCTCCTACCTCTCCCACTCCTGTTTGCACAATCTTCAGGCCCAGCTCTGCCTCCAGCTCTGCCTTCGCTTGCTCTGTGGATGGAGAGGAGATGGTCAGAAGGGTGCTCTCCCTCCACCCAAGAGACGCCCGCCAGAGACAGAGCCAAGGGATAGCCCCCACAGCTGCCCACCCCATGCCAGATCTCCAGTTCAGCCAGCGACACTGGGATGTATGGTGGGAGCCCACTCTTCCCAGCTATGGAGCCCACCCCCCAGCTAGAGAGGGAAGAAAGGGGGACAGGACCAGGGGGACCCCTGCCCAA